AAGATAAAGACACACTTACAGGCATCGAAGTTGACATATGATCTTAACTAACCAAATCACTTTATACTTGATCAAAAAGACCAATTGTAGAGTATACCACTTTTTAGCGATTTGCCGGTGAGTTTTCTTGACCCGTTAGCTTATATTTTGTTGTGACGATGTTACCTCGCTCTGATGATGTCCGTCAAATGACAGACGAAAGCTTAGCACCTTTTCACCGGAATCGAAGAAGATTGCCTCGGAAACAGCGTCAGCATGAATCTCCCAGTAAATCCGATCAACAGCTGATCAAGAGGAATCCGCCGTCGTCTTCTGGTAGCCAAGATACCCAAGACATTGATATCCAATCCGGCCAGGGATGCAGATGAGGCCTAGACGAGATGGAAACTGCAAAGCTCAGTGAACTTCGATGGCATCACGAGGTCTACTTATTTGATTATAAGAAAAACGCGACTGTCATTCGTTAACTCATCTTTAAAGGAGATCTGGGGAGACTAGGTTGTCATTTGAGAATTACCGATAGTATCCAAGCCTCTTTTGCCCAAATACAAATCCATGTCAGAGGCACAAACCTAAGACTTTGCAACAGTTTTGCTTACTTTGCCAAGTTGCCGTCAGTTGCCTGTGAAAATGAAAGACAAGTCCGTACTGCAACGGTGTATGTTTACTGGAGAATATCTGTATTACTTCATCAAAGTATAGTGATTCAAGCTCTTTGTACACAGTCCTGGGTGGTAGGAGAGAGATGCTCAGGCAAAGCACTCGGCCCGAATTTAACTCTCATCACAAAAACAGAAAAAAAGGATATTTTTCAGCGAACGGCTCGCCAAGCGTCATACGATGAGAAAAAAGTCTTATGGACAGACAGGACTTGGGGCCCGGAGAGGTGTGCCAAAGACGCGGAGAAGAGGCGGAAAGAAGTGAAAGCAAAAGGTTGCAAACAAGAAAGTGAAAAGAGGATAACGGCAAGGGTCTAACAAAAGTTAGAACAAAACAAACACTAGCAATGACCTGTTTGCACAAAGTGGTCCTCTGCGACATGCACCAATGGCCTGGTGAAAAGAAAAATGGCGGCTCGAGAGGATCAGCTGAACGGAAACGAGCATCCGACGCGGAGGAAAGAAGAAGAAAAGGGAGCGAAGAAACACACGAGACAGAATGCAAATGAATGGCGCTGTGGGTCGTTTGATGATGCGTACTTTGGAAGGCCTGACACAAAGGGGTTGGAGAGAATCTGCGAGAACTCAAAAAACTGTGATACACGATGGTTGGTGCATGAGGAGGGATATTTGTGGAATGGGGCGACAGGGGAGGTGATAGGGGGGATGGAGAAAGAAGAAGTAGATGTAGAAGCATCATTACAGATTAATAAATTATCATAATTGTGTGAATGGAAATAGTAGGAAAAGTGCAGGCTCTGATAGTGGCTATGTCACAAGGGTTGCCACAGCCCAGCACATAGTGGATCAGCGGAAGAGACAGAGACAGAGACAGAGAGAGAGAGAGAGAGAGAGGCGAGTTGGTGGAGGGACATAAAGGTGATTACAAGTGTTTGTGATGTAAGTAGTATAACAAGAGTATAAATAATAGGGATTAAAATAGTGATCTAATTATGCTGATTTTAGAAAGATAAACGAGTACTGCTGACGAGAGGACGTAGACTGGGCACGAGAGGTGGAGGGTAGGGGAGACGTGGAGAACTGGAATTTAGCTCGAATGAGCGCAGTAACAACAAGTCACAACTGTCCCCGTTTATTGGTCGTTCACACACACACACACACACACACACACATGCATACACACAGACGCACACAATCACACGTAGACAGCCACACTCGGCGATCACTTCTCGCCATTGCCTTTCTAACAGAACCCATCCAGGAGGGCGGCGTCGAGATGATATCCTCTGGGCGGATGTCAGGTCTGGAGCCTTTCGGGTGATGAGCAGAATAGGGCAGGAGTGTGATTGTGTAGAGGACGAGATCATCCGTCGCTGGATTGATATGTCGACGAAGTAGACGCGGAGCTGCCTAGAGGTCTGGTATGTACCTGAAGGTGGGACGATCCGAGCCGAAAAGGATAAAGTTGTCGGGCCCAGACTCTGCCGCCTCGAGGGGGTGTGGGGGCGAGTTGCCGTGCCGAGTGATGTTGCCAGCCGCATGTTTCGGGGGGCACTTGGCTCCGGTTGGTTGGTTAGGGTGGAACAGCGAAGGAGAAGGCAGAAGAGAAGGCAAGGGTCCGCAAAGGGTTGACGAGGGTGGACGAGGGGAGTAGAGATTGTGAAGTGAAATGGCCAAACCGACTGGCAGACGAGGAGAAGCAGGAACGAGTGAGTGAAAGTTCCGCGGATTGACTGGCCAGTCTGCACATGCGTACTCTGAGATGGCGCACATGTAGGCATGGCGGGATCTGAAAAACAGTGTATTCGTTGTGTCTGAGTGAGATAACCCGCACACGAACAAGTGCCAACACGTTGGCTGAGATGAGAATAAAAGCATAC